CACACACACAGCTAGCGTCTAATATTTTTCTCTCAAGACTGGTTATTTGTCATAAAAAGCGTTATATTACATAACTAAACACTGTCTATAGTTTACGCGAGTAGTACACGTTTAAATGAAACACTTTAACGGTTTAAAACGCGATATATTCCCCCCGACTCGACCCTGCCCGACGTCTCCGCCATGGTCACGGGGCTGCTCAAAAGCATCCGAAACGTCGGGCCGAAGTTAAAAATCATTGTCAAATAAGTTAAATTAATATATCGCGTTTTAAACGGTTAAAGTGTTTCATTTAAATTACATAACTAGCTGTGTCAACGACTTCGTCCGCGTAATATAGTTATTTTGAGATATCCAGATTTGTTTTTGTCTTTATGAATCTTAATAAATTAAAGCTGCTTGACCCACAAATTCGGTCGCGACCCGTCGCCAGCGACCCGTCATTTGGGTCTCATCGTACTTGCAAGTTAAAAGTTGAACATATAGCGTCGCCGACTTTTTTTTTAAATTTGATGAGAAATCATTCTCTTATACATATTTTTTGGGTATCGTGAACAGTTTTTGCACTGTATGCCTCGGAAACCCATTTTGATGAATAATATTTCCAATTTTTGTCACATTTCTCGCTGTCTTCGCTCCTAGACGTCACAGGACGTTGTTTTATAGCCTTCCTCGATAAATGTTCTAGCCCACACAATTTGTTTTTTATCAATTCGAACCCTTAGTTCCAGAGCGCGCTCAAACAAACAAACTCTTCAGCTTTATATATTAGTATAGATAGATATATCTGTATCTAGGAAATTTCGCAGACACATAACTGTGTCAGTTTGACATAGCTCCATCGCGCACAAGTAGAGTGTTTTTGTACGTCGATACAATTTTTCTGTTTCTCCAAGATTCGAATTCCAAACTTCTCGCGGCCATTATATCAACATATTTTTACACGAATAGCACACATTTAAATAAAGCTTTTAACGGTTAAAAACGCGAATGTATCAACTTATTTGCAAATTATTTTACAGCCCGAAAGCCGTGACCGCGGCTGCTGCAAAGCACACCAAACGTCGGGCCGTAGTTAAAATAACTTTTAAATAAGTTTAAGTAATACATTTTGCGTTTTTCTCCGGTAAAAGTGTTGTGTTATTCTAAAGCTTTTTTTAGACTAAGACTAGAATAGACTAAACTAAGACTAGACGAGGCTAGGGATTAGACTAGACTTAACTAAGGCTATTATTGAGAAATTATGATTAATATTTAATCTGCTAACGTAATCTCTCCTATAAATTGACTTCATCTTTGAACTTATTCAACATTTCCAGTCTCCCGTTCAAAGTTGAGTATACTCGACGTGACATTGTTTGTTTGTATATCTTATTGAGCCAACTGAGATTCCAATATCTCGTCGAAACTAATTACAACAACACATTATACGGCGGCATACTTCGTGTAAATTAGCACGACAAGATTTAAAAAAATACTAGGGGTGTAGTGTAATTCAGTAATTAGTTGAAATTCGTGTATATACAAACGTATTGTTTCTAGTTCAAACCTGGAGTATCGATACATTTAATAAAATATAAAACGGTTTAAAACGCGAAATTTTTCTAGTACATTATAAGTATAATAGTTGATTTATTGGTTATATATAAGTTGACGTGGTTAAAAAGAAATTAATTAATACACTTTTAAAACGGTTTCAAGTGTTTTATATATCTATACTAATATTATAAAGAGGAAAGATTTGTATTTTTGTATGTAACGGGTAAACTCAAAAAGTACTAGACCGATTTTAATAATTCTTCTTTCATTAGAAAGCTACGTTATCACATAGGCTATATTTAGTACTTGATTACTATAGGCATCTATAGAAATTTATCATCAAAACCAACGGAAGAACCAACGGGAGAACAAAAGATATCATGAAATTAAATAAATTACATGCCGGCGGCGGCCGCCACGCCGCGCATCGAGTAACTAATTCGACGAGGGCAGTGGGCTTCTTACGCAGTGGGCGCGAACGATATTGAATATTTCGTTTTTGTTTTTACATTTTTATGCTTCACTTAAAAAGTTCTTTTCAGAGCTACTTAGTTTTAGTATTAGGAATCACACTTTGCATAATATTTGTCAAACTTTTTTTCGGAACTATCGCTTTGAACTTGAATATTTTATTTTGTATTATTATTAGTTTATTCTTCATTTCTCTTATTTAAAATAAATATGCTTCATAGCAATATGCCTAGAAGAAAAAGGTCGCAGCTATCACAGAGATTAGTAAAAGTTCGCCGTGTTGTCTTCCTTAAAAGATAGTTCGGAAAGTATTAGAGTGTACGCGTCCCAATCGCGAGCCAGAGATTCTATCGTCGAACGATCAGGTTCGTTTTGCAGAACAAAATGCAAGATCGTCGCAGCGACTTGAAGGAAATTGAGCTAGGAAATCGCGAACGCGTGCACGGGACTCTTAACACTGAACGCTCGCAGCGGCTCCTGAACCAGCGAGATAGACCACGGTCGTTAATAGAGATGACGCACAATACAATATTTTTCTAATCTAGTGATTCATGGTCGTTTTAATTAGCAGGCTTATAATTTAAATATCTGTACTTATTTATGTCTACCCGTGCATAGCAGGGACAGGTCCGCTAGTGTTAAAATACATTAGAAATAAGTTTATGAAGGGTGAGTGGGTGAGTGGGACAGACAGTGGGGTTCACTTGGTATCTGAAAAACACCAGCCACATAACATCTAAACAAGATGTCCTGTCGATGGCTTAAGATATCCGGAGTAACTAATACATTTCGCGTTTTAACCAGTTTAGTTTGTTTAAAAAGTTGCTGCCAGCGACTTCGTCCGCGTAGAATAGTTATTTTGGAAATCAAAATTAGTTTTTGCAAACGTTCTCAACTTTACAAATTACAGCTCCAACACAAAAATATTTTTTCAATTTGAACCAGTAGTTCCAGAGATAAGCGCGTTCAAACAAACGAACTCTTCAGCTTTATATATTAGTATAGATACAATTGTCAAACTTATCACTCTAGGTTACACAAAGCATAGCTTCGCTTAGCGTGGCTTGTCGCGTGACGCTTTCACAACAGCGGGGCGACATGTTGTTGTAATTGTTTTCTTGCTCATCTCGTTTGCGTTGTCTGAGAATCAACACAAAAGTTTGGCTTGCTCAGCGCTCGTTACAAAAATGTTTGGGATATGTCGAATCTCGTAGCTGCTAAGTCAATTATATCATTTTGGCCTTAAATGTTCCACCGCTGGGCCCAAATCTAGGGACCCATCATGTCGCTCCAGTGTGCGGTGGTGGGTTTAACATGCTTCTTAGCTCTAGTAGTAGACTGCGGACTGAAAATCTGAATGTTCAATTCCGAGTTTGAACCTTACACCTAACTACACACACACGAATGTACTAACCGATAAACTAGCAGTTTTCATAGTACGACTCTATACAATTTAATTACGATACGATACGTGTCCTCTGTTTATAATCTCCAGGCCACAAATGGACATCGTATGTATTCCGAATGATTCAAAACCCAAGAAACACATGTTTCAAGATGCGTTAAGCGATGTGATTTCGAATCCCTGGCGATACAAAAAATTTAAATAAAATTCTTTTAGCGGTTTGAAACGCGAATTCTATTACTAAACCTATTTTTTTTTTAAGTCACTCCAACATTTTGAATGCTTTGTACCAGCCGTGGTCTCAATGGGGTGAGGGAGGGGGGAGACTAAAAATATAGAGTTTCCCTCAAAGTCAAATAATCTACTACGGTGGCACAACTTGTTAATTATTAACCACGATGAATTAAAAATAAATTTACTACTTTATTTCGCGTTTTAAACCGTTAAAAGTGTGTAATTAAAGCGTATACTTCCAACGTAAACTACAGACACACAGTATATAAGAAACACTCAAAAGTAGAATCAACAACGTGTCTGTATTTACAGACAGAAACAGAATTTATATTCCACTTTTAGTCTTCGATTTGGGAGTGTATACCATCGACATAGATTGATGGAAAATTTAATTTCCGCAGCGTCGACTTTTGGAAAAGACCTTCCATTGGGAGAGCTTTTCGGCTTTGAGTTGTCAGTACACAGACCGAAGGATTTTAACAACTAGCTGATCCAGCAAACGTTCTGTTGTTTGCAAGATTAATATTATCACAATATTATTATCATTTGGCCAAGTTGATTACCATAAAATATTTTTGTGATTTAATAACAAAAGTTAGGCTTATACTGCCGCGGACAATTTTTATGTCTGGAAACTTTAATATTTTATTTATTGCACATGAAAGCACTATATAATGTTTAACTAAAATATATCGCATTTTAAACCGTTAACGTGTTTTATTTAAATGCGTACTACTCGCGTAAACTACAGACAGCATTTAGTGCCATCATGTGAAAAATATTAAGGTTTTTAAAAATCTTTCTTTCAAACACCTGAGATCCCATATTAAAAACGCTGGATCCCAATAAACAGCATACCGGCAAACGCGAAGACACCGCTAGTCAATTCTGTAAGGACCCGGCCAGTTTCGCCAAATATCAACTTCGACGGAACAGATGGCGCTAGCAATTTTTTACTTTGGCGTCAGAGACATCCTCCATCTTTAGTCTCCGCGTGTCCACGGCTGCTGTTAAACATCCGAAACGTCGAGCCGAAGTTAAACATCATTCACAAATAAGTTTAACTAATATATCGCGTTTTAAACCGTTAAAGTGTTTTACTTAAATCTTTCTTTCATACATATTTTAACGACGACACGGCATTTGGTTAAACGTGTTGTATTGCATTATGAAGAGAGGTTTTGAAATTCGCGAAAACACTAAATTTCGGTCGGGTAGGGCACAGAAATCTGATCAACTAATGTAAATACAACTGAAAACGAACACCGAAGTGTGTTGGCCCCATGATACACGAATCGAGACGGGAAACATAAAAAGATATTCAATACTAAAACGTTTCTTATAATGCAAAATGGTCCGTTCCAATTTACACGAATCTTGGCAAGCGTCGTGGTATGAATCTTCGTTACTTTTTTTTGTTTAACGAAAAAAATGAACACTATTGCATTGTTCACGCGATTTGTGCAAATTAAATAAAACACTTCACGTTTCAAAACGCGAATATTAAACCACAGACGGGTCTTGGGACCGTGGGTTGGATCCCGGCTAGCTCCAACCCTTTTTCTAATCAAAGTAAAAATCAAAGCCGAAGAGTTGTTTTCGTATCTCAGGAAGTGATTGTAATAATTGAATTGTTTGATAGACTATTTGTAGAGACAGTGGAAAATGTGGAAAGGGCAGGAAAATTATTCACATTTGAGGGCTTACATTACATGCGTTTACAATTTTTCAAGACATATATGTATAAAGAATGACTTTTCTTTAAATTATGTTAAACTAGCTGTGCCCACGACTTCGTCCGCGTGGAATAGTGACTTGGGATAGAATTTTTAATTACTTCGGCTGTTTATTAATTTATAACATACTAGCTGTGCCCGCGAGTTCGTCCGCGTGGAATAGTGACTTGTGGTATTTTTTATTATTTAGGCTGTTTATTAATTTATGTAAGGGCGCATTTAAGGCAGCCAATCTATGTTGTTAGTGCTACTTTGCCGCAACACTCTCACCTCACATCACTCCTACTCTAACTCCCACTCTCATTCCTACACTCACTCCCACTCCTGCTCCTATTTGCAAAAAGCCAAAGATGAAAGTTTCATTGTTCTAGCTTCAAAAACCACGAATTTCATTTTCTTTTTAACCCCTATCAACCCGATTTTAGCATTGAAATGTAGCCTATGTCCTTTCTCAGGCTCTAAAATATCTGTGTACCAAATTTCATTTAAATCAGTTCAGTAGTTTCGGAGTTAAAGCCGGACAGACAGAGTTACTTTCGCATTTATAATATTAGTATAGGTATGCCCGCGATAATATATGTCTATCTCATTCTAGTCGCAGGCACTAGTAAAGTATATCTGTAAAACGGACTCTAAGATATACCAGCCCCATCCCCCAAAATGGGGTAGTGGGTTGTCCCACATTTTTAACTAACAATAATCTCGATACGCATAATATGTAGTCATTGAAATACTGAAAGAATTGGACCCGGTCCAAGAGCCGGTGTTAATAATGTCGACAAATATAATTATACTCGGCTATTTTATTAATATTTGTCGCGCAAACAATGCGTGAATTTTATGTAACATCCGATGGTATTCGTGTTAGTCAACTTTTAGACTATTAAAATATTAAATGAGCGATGACGTAACAATATTACTTACATGTTTAGGGCTCGACTGAAATTGTTAAATTGAATCCAAAACATTTTTAGTACTGTCTGTAATTTACACGAGACTAAATAAAATGAAACACTGTTTACGGTTTAAAAGGCGAAATGTATTACTTTCACGTTTTAAACCGTTTAAAGTGTTTTATTAAAAGCATTTTTACAGGTGAGTGTTTTGAAAATACACTGATGTAGATCAAAACAGTGTCTAAGGAAAGATTTTTAAATTCCAATTACGTAATTTGAACTGTGATTCTCATTATTTGGAGTGATCGTTTAAAAATAATTTTAATTAATCGTATTCCATAATATACCACTATTATATTATACAACAATAATTTATATCAAAGTTGATCGTGATAATGCATATTGGACGCCCTGTAACGAAAGACTTTTTGTAGAGTCTGGGGGGTGGGGAGTGTAGTAAATCATACTACAACCTTCTCGGAGACAATAGCCGACCAGTACCACTTAACACACCACCAGCCGGCTACGGAGCTTTGAAGAAGCCCCCAGAATACGTTTGTTCGACTCCAAAGCTTCCAGATCCCTAAGGGAAACTTAAAACAAGCGTACGTTGAAGGAAATAAATCAAAAAGCGATCATGAATAAAATCTTATCCCCTTAGGCTTTGAAGGTTTTGTCTGTCAGATTAATACAAAAAAATACGATGTATTAAGTCTAGCGATTTTGGAATTGGCTTATATTCTTGCATCATAAAAATATATATAGAATTTCTAATTTCCGTGACCTGGCTTGGCATGATACCTTTTAAACAAAACACTTTAAGGCTTTAAAACGCGATATATTAGTAAAACTTATTTAAAAATTATTTTTAACTTCGGCCCGATGTTTCGGATGCTTTGCAGCAGCCGTGGTCACGGGGAGACTGTGATGATATGATATGATACCTTTTGATAGAGGATGGCAGACGAGAAAACGGTGTCGGTGGAAGGTAAAATACTCTAACCATATAACTATTATATATATTGGATATTTGTAAATCCACAGACTGAAATGCTATTTAAGTTCACGGCTTTTTCATATGTGGACGTTGGTTCCCAGACGGATTTTGTATCCTTTGATAACCAGTTTTCTCGGAAGAATTAATACATTTATCGTAATCTGATTTAAAATATATATGTCAAGTAATTACGTCACATACGGTCACAAGATTCTTGGAATAAAAAAATATACAAATCAATTTGATATACTCAAAGTATCATTAGATGCGTTGAAGCAGGTAACGAGGAATTGGAATAAGTAATAAATTATATTTTACCTAGACTTGGTCGCTTGCCAGCGATCCCCTACTATTGGTTCTCGATCGAAACTCATTTTATAGTATAACATAGCACAGTACATAGTATAAATCATTTTGTAAGTATTGTGTAGCCTATGCAAGTAGAACACATTTAAATAAAACACTTTTAACGGCTTAACTTTTACAGTTTTATCGCGTCTATTGCATTCTATGGCTTTTCGATTATCCAGAACCAAAATGACAAGAAGTCGCATGCGCATCTTGTCATGACGTAGTTTGGATTATTTCACCTCGCCTGTTATCAATAAAAATAGGATAACAAATATATTTCGCGGTTTAACCGGTTAAAAGTAATTTAAAGTTTTATTCAAAACGAATTCAAACTAAGTATTATTCTTGTCTTCATATTTTTTGTTATGATAGGACAGACACACATCGGGTTCACTTATTGGGAGGCGATATACCACAGCCATATAACATCTTCACTAGATGCGCTGTCATCCTATCTTGGATTTGGATATTCGGAAATCACGGGCGGAATCCGAATCGATTAAACTTTCAGCTGTTTCATGTGTGGTCGGTGGTTCGTGACTAACTATATACTGACTTCTTTAATACGTAATATTCTATATTCTAAACAAGTGTATTTATTGTAAATAAAACAGTTTAACGGTTTAAAACGCGATAAATATTAGTTAAACTTGAATTCTATTAACTACGGCCTGACGTTACGAATGCCTTGCAGCCGTGGTCACGAGGTCTCGTCTCCCCGTGACCACGGCTGCTGTAACACACGATATTTCGCGTTTTAAACCGTTAAAGTGTATTTAAATGTGTTACTCGCGTAAAGTATTTGAGCTTATTTAAATTATTCATAACGTCTCGTGTAGCTCAAATTGGCTCAATTAATTTCGCTGTAATTTCATGTATTCAGCTGGAGCGGTTTCTAATTTCTGTATTCAGCTAAGTGGCCTATTTTACTCGTTGCTAAGTCTAAATTAGATCTACGATACGATAAGTATACATACATTTTTATAACATTATGAAAGGTGAAATACCAATAAAATGCGCTGCAGCCTATTTTGAAACGTTAATATTATCTGTTGAAAAATTCTAAAACATAATAAAAATAAATGCATTAATTACTACCAAATTTGATAATCGTCAAACTGTTTTTGCGAGAGTGAATCATTATTATAGAAATATTTGTTAAATACTGTCTATAGTTTACGCGAGTAGTGCACAATTAAATTTATTTAAATGCGCTCTACTCGGGTTAAATATAGACCGTTTCAAACCGTTAAAGTGATTTATCACTTTAACGGTTTGAAACGCGATATATTTAAGTTAAACTTATTTGACGTGGTCACGGCTGCTGCAAAGCATCCGAAACGTCGGGCCGAAGTTAATAATAATTTTCAAATAAGTTTAACTAAATTATCGCGTTTTAAACCGTTGAAGTGTTTTATTTAAATGTGTACTACTCGTAATATGAAGACAGTATTTAACTCTAGTAGAATATACAAACACACTAACAAAATCATTATAAACCTACCTCTGTTGTTATAAAGCACAGCAAACGGGCAGCCACGCCCAAATGCAGTCCAAACAGGTGGTGGTTTTCGAACCTTCGGTGCTCGTACACAGCCTTGTGTTATCGCCTTATCCATACTAATATATAAAGCCGAAGAGTTTGTTTGTTTGAACACGCTAATCTCAGGAACTACGGGGTTCGGATTAAAAAAAATGTGTTGGTTAGATTATTAGTCACATCGCGATGTAACTAATAAGAGAAAAGACACTGTGGAAAATGTGTAAAAAAATATTTACCTTCAAAGGCTTCTGTAAAATACCCAAAAACTATGTATGATTTCGAAATAAATGATTACTCTATAAACTACAAAAATATCCGCGACGTTATCTCTTAAAGATTATTTTGCAAGAACGACGAGATGCGGGCGACGTTGTGGGTAAAACCTATATTTTATAAAGCTGAGGAGATGGTTAACAAAATAAATTAGCGAAAAATAACTATTCTACGCGGACGTAGTCGCGAGCACAGCTAGTGCATTATATATGTAAAGTAAAGTTCTGTCATTTAAAAATAAACTTACAATGTATAAAATTATTATCTATTATATTTAATATTTAATATATAATTTAATTATTAACATTGAAAAGATTACGACACGGTCGGGTCTTGATCCGGTATGGCCGTGATGTCGTGTGTCTTTGGTATATATAATAACTTATTTCTTGTTTGTTTCAGGGGGTTTGGTAAACAGGGATTCCAGTGTCAAGGTAAGAATTTTGTATTGATTATATCTTTATGATAGAAAGAGACTAAGGGCTGGTTCATTTGTTTTAACGGGTCGTGGATTCGATTCCCACAGGATCCGACATCTTTCTAATCAAATTATATTTTTTTTTATTCACCTACGCAACTCGCACGCGCACTCACATTTTAAAATTCGTAGACTGAAAAACAGCGCTGTGCGACCGACCCCCTTCGTGTCAGCATGCAGCTGAGTCTGCATCCCGATGTGCCACAAAATTTTAATTTAAGAATCTAGTTTTTTAGTATTAACCTGTGTTTGTAAATTTTGTAGCATTCTTTCTTTCTGAAACAGGTTGTACTTCGTCTAGAAATTTGGATATTAAAAGAGTGGTAGGAATATCGAAGTTCCGTCCGGGGCACGAACCAGCGTCTAGCTGCTTAGATATTATGGCAGGTTTCATTTACCATTCGGATTGAGATTTACTTAACGCAAGGAAAAATACCTAACATAACAACTAAACAGGATTTGCTGTAGACCTATTTTGGCTTTGTGCATTCAAATTTTCCACATTCATTTTTGAAAAGAATGTTTGCCTGATCGGAATCGAACCTGCGGCCCGTTGGTTATTAGCGATCCATTGCTACCAATTAAACAACAACCCCGCCAATGATTTTATTTTGTATATATCATTACAAAGTCATGACAGTCATTTGTTTTATTTCAGTGTGCAGTTTTGTCGTGCACAAAAGATGCCACGAATACGTCACCTTTACGTGTCCCGGAGCCGACAAAGGCGCCGACTCCGACGTAAGTATAAGGCACAGATTACATACTTGCAATTGGTCGATAATGTGTAACCTGCGCATACGCATAAAACTAAAGTGGAGTCTTTTTAATGGACTTGACGTTTGACAGTTTTATCTCTATAGTGGGGTTGATCTGTTTATATATATTAAAATATGGACTTGAAACTTACGTGTATTTATCAGAAATCATCAGGCGAATTCGGCTAAAGTCTGCGTCCTATAATAACATCATTGATAGGAACTGGTGTTGCCAGTAACATCTTAATGCCCTCTAGGCACTGCTTTAAAAAACTATATTTTCTAACTCTAACCAATTGAGCTACCGTGTATACACGTCATCGTCGATTTTAAACGGTTCTATTTAGCTCGTACCTGTACGAAATTTATTTATTTGGGTCAAAATTGGAAATTTAAATTTAAGCACCTTCCCGTTGTCAGATTGCTCTGAAATTCCGTACACGCATTTAATTCAGATGATAGTACAGTATAATTAAATCAATAACATTATAAATCCAAAATGGCCGCCGATACAAAATGGCGGAATACATATTTTTCCTTGACCCCCTCAATATGGGTATCAAACGAAAAGGGCTACACTAGTAAAGCAAGTTGACTACGTAAAAAAAATTTTAGTTTTCAGTGCACACGAAATAAAACCGTTTAACTTGAAAGTTGATAGATACTTGTTCTTAACATATTGATATATATTTGAAACTGTATAAGAACTAATATTTACGTTATTTTTCTACGAAACAATTCTCGTAAATGTAACATAAATAAAAAAGATAACGTTGTGTTTAGCGCGCGAGGTCGTGGGTTCGAATGCATAGGAAATAATTGTTTTGGTCGAGCAGGCCATAGAAGCCTGTTAGTAGATATAGAGTAGTACAGCGGATACAGATATGTGTTCGCCCCATGCTCCACAGGTGAAAACAACCCATCCCAAAGGTCTTACTTAACATTTCGTTAAATTACTTATTTTATACACAATAACAAAATAATTATAGACTAGTTGGAATGACATAAGACTACATCTTAAAATAAAATATAACTGTTTAAAACGCGAAATATATTAGTTATTGGTAACTATGATTTGCAGAAGTCATAAACACGAGTCAATTATGTAAACAAGCTAAATATTTAAAGCTAAAAGATATATTTTGAGTTTTAAACCGTTAAAATTTTCAGGAAAAAATCCGATATTAAAAAAATTTGCTCAGGTACACTTGTAACGGTTTCGCGAAATATATCATTTAGCTTTGTTAGCATAGTAACGCTCTTCATATTTAGCCCACTGTGTCCACGACTGCTGCAAATACGTTTAACCGATAATATAACTCGGTTTATCTCAGAATATGGACAGAAAAATTGTATCAAAATTAATGTTTTCTTGGAAAAACCTACAATTTTCCACACGAGAGAATCTGTTACAAAATTTTCCTCGTAATAACAAGAGTACATTTAGTACAAAGAGATTTATATTGATATTTTTAGAGAAGCAGTATATGTGTTATAAGACAGGCGGAAAAAAGCATGAGGTAGAAGGAATTTAAAACTACATGCGCCGTCGACCTTTTTTGACTTTGGACATTCAGACTGAAACGAAATTAAACTTCCCAGCTTTTTCATTTCCGATATTCCTAACATCCATTTAATAACCAGATTTCCAGAATTCCAACATGTTTAAGAATTATACGTTAATTAGACACCTAGTAGACACGGTGGGGATCGAATCCACGACCCGCTTAGCCGTACAATTCTACCATAAGACTAATAAGATTGTCAAACTTCCTCAATGTACATTTTAAGCGTCTGAAAATTATTGGAAAACTTATGACGTCACACATGGAAGTGAAAAGATGGATTATGACATGTACTGTCACGTGTTTTAACGTTATTGCAAGAGTTATAAATCGTATTAAAAATTTAATATTGACAATCACATAAAAAACTTTTACTTCAGTATAAAAATAAGTGTTTATAATTGCACATAAGCGCCCATATATATTTAGTGTATTTATAATGGAACGCTTTATGACTCGAGCGGGACTCGAACCAACCACCGACAGTGTATCGTACTGTTACTAAACTTACAGTTTTCTCTCGCCGAAGTAATTATCGCCGTGCTATTAACGTTTTGAGGTAGCGCGTTCTATGCATTTCAATGTAAGTAAATCGATGAGAATAATAATCAATAGGCTGTAACAGAAACTCGATGGAACATGGCTTTTTCACTTTTCGATTTTCCTATCATCTATTTACTCGTTTTATGTGATTAGAAACATTTAAATAAAACACTTTGACGGTTTAAAACGTGATATTTATAAGTTAAACTACGTCCCGGGGAGTCCCGGTGACCGCGACTGCTACAAAGCATCCTAAACGTCGGGCCGTAGTTAAAATAATTTCCAAATAAGGTTTTTACTCATATATATCGCGTTTTAAACCGTTTAAGTGTTTTTATTTAAATGTGTACTATACACGTAAGCTACGGATAGTATTAGTATTGATAAGAAACATAATCGAACCCAAGTCCCGTTTATCAACCATACATTGCTACTGGCACAAAGAGGCTGTTAAAAGCAAAAAGCGCTCTACACATAATGCAAAAGTGAAATCCCGTGGGGTGAACACATTTTTGTGTCCGTTTCACCGATCCGTTTTATTTACAGGCAAGTAGTTGATCAGAATTCTATACCTTGATCGCCACCATCTATAGTTTCCGGGGATTCGAACCTAGGACCTCTCACGTTTAACGTTATGTGTTGATACACATTGTATAATAATTCTGAAGAATATTCAAAGCTCGACAACGCATTTTTCTCAAACGAGAACGGAACGCAGCGGAGAATAGAAAAACAATTTCGTATGAAAATCACAATAAATATTTCTCTCGTTCTTATATTGTTGAGATTTTAATATGAAAAAGCGTAACGTTTGTATTTACTTATAATATGCGTTATTTTTCATTCACATTTGAAGTTAATAGGGCGCGAAATGAAAACAGTTATCAAACTAAAAAAAATAAATTAAACCATTTTATTTTTTGTGCACTGAAAACTACAAAAAAAAATTACATAATCATCGTGTTTTACATGTGTAGGCCTTTTATTTGATACCCATATTGAGGGGGTAACGGAAAAATATGTAATCCGCCATTTTGTATCGGCTTCCATCTTGGATTTATAAAGTTTTTGATTTTATTATATTATATTATCATCTAAATTAAACGTGTGTGCCAAATTTCAGATAAATCTGACAACGGGAAGGTGCTTAAATTTCAATTCCTAATTTTGAAACAAATAAATAAATTCCGTACAGGTCGAGCTAAATAAAACCGTTTAAAATAGTCATGTTTTTATACTCGCTGGTTCTATGGTTGGTATACTCGACTGCAGAGCGGTCTAACCTTTGAATGGACAAAATCTAAGTTTAGTGTTTCTAATGCTAATCCGCTGATTAGAAATGGACTGTATGTCATCTCATTGGTGGTAGGTCCTTTTAGTGACAGAGGATAGGGAAGTTCCGCATTTCCGAAGCCAATATAGGTCGATAGCGCATTGGTGAAATGTTATTTGGCTTGTTTGTATGTCTTCCTCTAGCATAAAAAGGCGTGGTGTTTACTTGAAGGTTGAAGTTTACCCCAGCTATATAAAATCTAAGCAAGATGCGCTGTCGGCCTATTCTGGTTTCTAATTTCCAGATATTTACAGACTGCAATCGAAACGCGGATTTTTGCGACTCACGCCTTTTATCTGTGGACGATACAAACATTTACTTTAGCAATTTAATGGCGGTAGTTGTAGAGTCTACCTACCTACCCGCTTGATAAATTCGTGATAGGTTTAAACTCATATGTATCCTATAAAAAAGGAGGCCAGCTTAATAAAAAACCTTTTACCGTTAAAACGCGAAATATATTTTACTTAATTACAAATTATATTAACCACGGCCCGACGTTTTGTATGCTTTGCAGCAGCCGTGGTTACGCGGGGACTGAAAATGGAGAGTGTCTCTAATGTCAAAGTCAAATCTGCTACGTTAGCGCCATCTGTTTCGTCGGCGTGTACTCGCGTAAACCACAGGCAATACTTAAGGAGACTTGTGCTATTTACTAATATATAAAGCTGGAGAGTCTGTTTGTTTGAACGCTCTAATCTCAGGAACTACTGATGGGAATTGAAAAAAATATTTTTTTTGATGGTTAGAGCGTTTTTCGAGGAAGGCTACGAAACATCGCGATGCGACTTAAAGGAGGAAAGACGCGAAAAATATTCATTTTTGTGGGTTTTCTTCACAAACGTTGTGAAAACGGTTCCAGATACGCAACAATATCTATGATAGAATGATTCCTCTTTAAATAATTTAAAAAAAATGACGGCGTAATTAAGCGTTTATATTTTAAGATTAACTTACAGCAACGACGGGACGCGACCGACGTGGGCAATGGCTTAAATCTCTAGAAATAACTATTCTACACGGACGAAGTCGTTGATACAGCTAGTTTTTTTCACATAGCGGTTTTTAATCTTAGTTTTTCTTTAGCAATATTTTTTAAATAAAACTTTAACGGTTTAAAACGCGATATATTAGTTAAACTTATTTGAAAATGATTTTTAACTTCGGCCCGACGTTTCGGATGCTTTGCAACAGCCGTGGTCGCGGGGAGACTCAACTTTAACTAATATAACGCGTTTTAAACCCGTTAAAGTGTTTTATTTAAATGTGTACTACTCGCGTAAACTATAGACAGTATTTAGTAATATTGTTTGAAATTAAAGCTGAATTAATGCCCTGGCATTAATTAATGTCCTAACAGTAATGATCGTACTTTTGGCAAGGATAATATTTTTATTGTATTTGAAATGAATAGCGGAGCAGATGAGAAAATTCTCATGATAAACTTCGGCGAATATTTTATCGCTGGATTGAGGGTATTTTTATAAAAAGTTCCCCGACTCGTTATAGTATCTTTATAGTGGAAAAAGTGTATCTCTTTATTGAAATTATCATTAACTGACGGAATGTCCGTCTATATTAATATTAATAATGTTTAATTAAACCACTTAACGGTTTAAAACGCGAAATATTAGTAAACTTTTCTTACAATTCAATTTTATTTTCCTCCCGAAACTCCAGCGACGCATACGAAACGTCACGTCGTTAAAATAATTTAACAAATATATATCACGTTTGAAACCGTTAAAAGTGTTTTTTTTAATGGGCATTTATTTTGTCGTACTTAGTATTTTTCCTGGACAAACAAATAATACACCTAGAACAAGAATAAACGTGTTCTAGATTCGAATTCCGGTGAAACATAGATAGTTCTGATCGTTCAAGGCGGGAAGTCTATGTACCTATAAAGTAATAGCGAACACAAAATTCGTGTAGCCGTGTCAGCGATTTCGGCATCCAAATTTATTAGTTTGCAACCTCCCCTTACTTCTTTATGAAAACAAAAACAAAAAAAAAAAAAAAAAAAAAAAGGGGAAGGAGGAAAAGGGGGGAGGGGGCGGGGGGGGGGGGGGGGGGTTGGGGGAAAGAAAACACTTAATAATTTAAAGGAACTAACTAAAACTAATGGCATGGCAATTCAAGTTGTTACTCACGACGTCACTCTCGTACCGTCATTACTAGCTTAACAAAGTTAATATTATAAGATAGACATATTATGACAGTGTTGTTACACGTTTTTATACACACAAAGGACGCCATGCACATGTTCTTATACATCTAAAATATTTTACCTAAAAGAAATATTTCTTTTCGAGCCGAAGGGCAAAACCCCAAAAACCGGGGCGCAAAAAAAAAAAATTTTAAAAAAAGATAAAAAAATATATCGCGTTTTAAACCGTTAAAGTGTTTTTTTTAAAAGAAGAGACGTGTTTTAGATTCGAATTCCGGTGGACATATTTTTTTAGATTCATGAGAGAAGAGTCATTCTTTCATATATATTTTTTGAACACATTTTCCGCCGTTTCTTCACTCTTAGTAGTCACATCGCAATGTGTTATAGCCTTCTTCAATAAATGCCCTAATCGACACAAAAGATTTTTTCTATTCGAACCTGAGTAGTTCCTGAGATTAGCGCGTTCAAACAAACAAACTCTTTAGCTTTATATATATTAGTATAGATAATCTGTCTAAGACCAGAGCTCAGGTGACCCGTTGTCCCGGAAAATATCGTACTATTGCCCAGGGAATTTTATAGCAAGCTCATCGCTGCAAAATGAAAATTACCCGGGCCATTCCGTTGAAATCTGTTTAGAATAATGTTTATCAAATTTTGGGACTGTTTATGGTACATAAAAGGATTTACTCTCGAAACCCGATGTACAACATTCGTTTTTATGGCGCGCCTTGTCGCGTTTATGGTTATGAGATCAGCCGGGCTAGTATGCAAACTTCGATATATGTCTCTCACTAGCGTAGACAATAATACAAAGTTACTTGTTCGACTACTAATATTAACTTTGAGTCGGTAAGCCTAAATGCATATATATTACGAAATGAGACATATTCTTAAACTACGTAATAAAGAAAACAGATGGCGCTAGCGTAGCAAATTTGACTTGACATTAGGGATGTTGATCAGAGATGGTATCCCCATGAATATTACAGTTGCTAAATGTATTAGAAACGACGGTTTGTTTCAAATATAGTTTAGGTTTTAATCCGTTAAAAGTGTTTGGGTTTTGAATGAGAAGTTTTGGAGGCGGTCTTAGTCGCGTATACGTAATTCTATAGAATTTAATATATTCTTAAGTTATATACTCCTTTTTTTGCTTAATTGGATCTGTAACGTCTTTTCAATCACATTTACCCTTTTATTTAGAACATTATGCGTGGTGTAGGCTGAAATAAAATTACTGATACCGGTCCACATATACACATACATATAGATATTTATTTATTTTTTATTGCAGATAAGATTATAGTGATACAGACAAAATAATTTTTTGCTTGTTTTGTGTTGAATTCACTTTTATTTGGAAGAAATATGTCTAAATGCTATGATTTGTAGGCGAGATTATTTTCATCAAAAAAAGAGTCTAATTTCACAAAAATAGAAGTACTTTTATGTTAACGTTATAACGATAGACAAAATTATGTCGAGGCATGCATGCTAGGTCTGTATCGAATTTAATAACATAAAATTTTGTACTCTGTTTATTTCCAATATATCGAGGCTTTTTTTAAAGCTTCTTAAATTGATTACGTATTCTTTTTTCTATCACGTCATATACAGGGTGATAGATTTTACTGTCCCGTGCCGTTGATGTATGTTTTTTCTGTAAAATGACTTTAGATTTGGTTGAGGTATTTACTATGAATACAGTTTGTTGTAATACACTGGTATAAAGTATAGGTAGGTAGCAAATATTGCTTAATAAAACGATTTTTCTGTGTCCATTATAAAAATCCCCCCTGACCACCATATTTAATGTATTGTTAATAATCATCGGGCCGTAGGTTCGACCCCTACAAGGTTCAATATCTTATCAATTTATTACTTTTCCGAAACACGTTAAGACGTCTTGGAAATCTAGATGTCAAATAGGTGTGTTAAAAATCACCATCCACAGATGAAAGTACCGTGTAATGTAATCGCGTTTCGGTTTCAGCCTGTTGATTAACAAGTGTTCCATCTTAAAATAGGTTAACCAACTAATACCTTATGTGTCTCCGTCATATGTAAAACCGTTTCAATTGCCACGTTTATTACCATATCTTGGACTACACATATTACACAGATTTATTGACAGAACAAACACTTCACTGGGATGCAAACCGAGATGACAACCAGCGCCATCTAGCGGCTGTGTTCACCAAATTCACTATAAACTGTACACTAATTGTTTTGTGCATATATTATAAGTTTATATCAACAACAGGACACCCGAACCAGGCACAACTTCAAAGCATATACCTACTCGTCGCCAACGTTCTGCGATCACTGCGGGTCTCTGCTGTACGGCCTCCTGCACCAGGGCTTGAAGTGTCAAGGTACAGGATCACGGATGGGGCTCTCTCTAACGCTTCTTTCAGCTTGGCGGTGTCTCATGCTAATCTCTAGTTCTTTACTCTGCTTATTCAATTCTTTTCAGCTCGCTGGTGTCTCATGCTAATCTAGTTTTTAACTTTAATTCGCTTTCAACTCTTTCCGAAGGCCACACCTCACAAGTGGAACAATTGGACATTCCTAGCGCCAACGTTTTGCGATCATTGTGGCTCCATGCTAGGTCTAGCGCATCAGGGATATAAGTGCGGAGGTACAAAGAACCCAAATGCCTCCCGTGGGAAATCTAGTTTCCAAACATCTAGTGCTGGATGGTTGTCACAGGAATTGTCCAATTGATGTGTTGTCTGGTTATTGTAACGATCGTTTGTTGACAAGTGGAGAGTGATGTTTAGCGCGCACCGTGTAAGGCTTCTGTCTCATATAAACGCTATAGTCAGTATTTGATGCTTTAAATCAAAATAAGATATCAAATAAGAGGTCAAATAAGAGTTGGAGTCGCACGAAGGGTTCTGTACATAAATACATATTGCAACCATTTTTTGAATAATTCTGCTGTATTATTATCAGTAATAAAAAAGCAAAACAGCCTTTCTCGTTTTGGCGTCCTTTTAAAATTAAAGTCAAATGTTTATTTTTTTTTATAATTATATATTATTAAGGTAAAATCATTTTGATATTTCAAGTGTCTACAAGTTGAAATAGAGTAAAAATATTAATTCAGCCCCTTTAATTTGTTTTTCGTTATTTCTTGTTATGGTCGCAATATGTATAAATACAATTTGTGAAAATTCTAACTCTATCGTTATCGCTGTTCCTAAAACACAGACATCGAAGTTTTAATAATAGGATTACTTTTTCTCATGCAAGTACGGAACCCTAAAACAATGCTCGTGTCTTTTATTCGTAATAACTAAAGACGCTAGACAAAGTGTATAACGCTTGCAACTTCGACTCACTGACGTCCTTGTGTGAAAGAGACAACACCATTCGTTAATGCTATGAGTCACGTTCAACGCGTTTATATGAGACAAGGGCCTAAAGCACCAAATGAACCAATAGCACATTGATTCGATTGGACGCACGAAATGGAAGAAATGAATAATGAAGGATGGATCTAATCCGGTTTTATAATAAAATTGGATCCGTTTATTTAATTGGAGTGTCGGATGGATTAAATTAATTTTGTTATACTCGTGTTTCTTGCTCCATTCGAATTTAATTCATGAATATTCATCACGTTTAAATAAAACAATTTTAACGGTTTAAAATGTGAAATGTATTTGTTAACTTGTTTGGCAACAGCCGAAAATTCGTAGCTAAAATTTAAATAAGTTAAATATATATATATATCGCGTTTCAAACCGTTGAAAGTGTTTAATTAACGAATGTTAAGTACTATCAGTAGTTGATGCAAGTACACACTCAAATAAAACACTTTTAACGTCGTAGTTAAATTGTAAATCAGTTGATACATATATATCGCGTTATAAACCGTTAAAAATGTTTTATTTAAATGTGTACTTACGTAAACTAATAACGGCACTTAACGTTCATTCATTGCTTTGTCTGATGCTTGCTTTGTATATAACTTTGCTTAGATTAGTATTTGCAATTTTTCGTACTGTGTGTGTGTGTGTCTGTTTGCACATTTTTTTGTATAAAATAAGCTACTAACAAGCTGACCTGGCAAAAAACCTTTAGCCATATGTATTTCGACCAAATTTTGATTACCAAAATGGTTCTCTTGAGTCAACCTTAAAAGATGGACATATAGTTGCGAAGATTGTTTTAGATTATTTATAGAAGAATCATTATTTTCTACATTTCATTGGCGTGTCTTGAACCGTTTTCGTCGCGCACGCGACGGACACACTCAACGAATTTTCCACATTTTCCACTGTTTGTTCGCTGCTATTTATTTTATTAAAAATAGTATATCTATATTAATATTATAAATGCGAAAGTAACTATCTGTCCGGCCTTAACTCCGAAACTACTGAACTGATTTAAATGAAATTTGGTACACAGATTTGAAGCTAGAAGAACAATGAAACTTTTATCTTTGGCTCTTTGGGAATAGGAGTGGAAGTGGGAGTTAGAGTAGGAGTGATGTGAGGTGAGAGTGTGCGGCGTTAAATAAAACACTTTAACCGTTTAAAACGCGATATATTAGTTAACTAATATATCGCATTTTACTTAATTGAAAATTATTTTTAACTTCGGCCCGACGTTTCGGATGCTTTCTCCTCGCGACCACGGCTGCTGCAAAGCATCCGAAACATCGGGCCGAAGTTAAAAATCATTTTCAAATAAGTAAAACGCGATATATCGCGTTTTAAACCGTTAAAGTGTTTTATTTAAATGTGTACTACTCGCGTAAACTATAGACAGTATTTAACAGCCTAAATATTTAAAAATTTTACCCCAAGTCACTATTCCACACGACGAAGTCGCGGGCACAGCTACTATCAAATAAAACTTTACCATAGTAACTTATTTTTAAGAACTATAACTAACATACTAACTCAGTATACGTGTAAATGTCTGATATAAAATCCTTTGCGTTTCAAACCGTTTTTTAAACCCGAGACTATGTAAACATAGTTTCGTTATTATATCTTCTGAAAATTATATGATTCGAGAAAGATATATACGGCTTAAGTGGAAAACATATGACGGATAAAATATGCAATGGCACGGGTAATTGTTTGTCGTTTTACCCTCAATCCCCGAATCATGCATGCTCTTTCAAGATATGCTTTATCTAAATAAAACACTTAACGGTTTCAAACGCGTAATATATTAGTAAA